CACAAAAAGACAAAGGCATGAATAAGCCTTTCTAAGTCAGGAAAAGACAAAGCTGATTTAATTTTGCTAATATTTCTTAGGTGAAAGTAGCAGGATTTAAAGAGATTGTTGACATGTGATACAGAGTTCAGTTCAGAATCGAAAGTGATACCTAGATTTCTGGCTGAAGATTTTAGATTAGTTGCCAGTGGACCAATAAAAGGTTGTAGGTTGCTTACTACTTACTACTTACTGCTTACCAAATACTAAATTAAATCTGTATTGTCTGAGTTCACCTGCTTAAGTGGAGTTTCGTATTGTCAGTGTAACAGTGAAAGGAGTTCCCGTGAAAATTATTTATAATGTTTCCAAATGGAAGCATATAAAGACAAAACAAAATGGGACCATAAACACTGGATCCTACATTTCCTATAATGCAACTTGACTTGTCTTTCATTAGACTCTTTCTGCCTGGTTAACATCCACACCTCCAGTCTGCAACCCAGGCTATCTGTTATAAATGTGTGGTCTTCAAGCCAAGCTAACCCTGATGACATCCGGGTTATTTTGTCAGACTCTAGAAAGCTGCCTCACAGACCACAGAAGACAGTATACAATGGTTTCGAGGAATTCTCTTTTAAAACATAGTGTGTAAAATTATCACAAAAGGAAATAAAACAATACAATAAACACTGGTACTCTCAGAAAACTTTCAACAACATTTTTATTGTTCACATAGCACTGTCTGTATTACATCCACACTGACTGTTTTATTAGGTGTCATGCTGGTGGTCAAATGGGAAAGGACTGGCGTCAGAGGTTGTGTGTTTGTGTTTTGCTGCATGCTTCCAGAAGGTTTAGGTACAATCCAACCTTTGTACGTGCATCAGGAAAACACAAATTTAACAAAGATTTAGGTAAAATGATATAATTCCTCAGCAAAACACGAATGTTTGACAAAAGTGTGCAATTCTGATTTTTATGTGACTCAATACACTCTTTTTCATGCATTTATACTACATCCCTTTTAATACAAACAGATGCAGACAGCCACACACACACAAGACTGACTCATGGGCTTTTGTAATGGCAATAAAAGCCGTCTGTTTCAAACACACCCTGTTGATTAAGAGTCAGTTAAAGTGTCTGAGACGATGGGGAAATGAGTGGAAGGGTTAGGAGGGGAAAAATGTGGTGAATGAATGTGATGAAGAGAGAGAGAGTAAGGTTTTAGTAAAGAAGGATGATAGGAGGATGGGGGGAAATCGACCTGGAGGAAAGAAGAAATAAAATTAAATGTTCCCATGTGTTGCTGGCATTCTCGCAGAGAGCAGATGAAAGCAAAGGATAGTGAGTAAAAGGGATGTCATGACGACGCCCAACCGAACTATCACAGGGAGTGGAGAGGATGGAGAGGAGAAGAAAGGAGGAGATGGATGTGGCATGAGGGAGGTGAAGACTGAAGAGAAGAACAGGATAGGAGATGAAGGCTTCAAAGGCAAACTGGGAGACATGGAGGAATGAGGAGGAGTAAAGAAGGGCACCCTCTGATATTTAAACAACCAGGGAAGAAGTGTTCTCTCAGCATTTTCCTGAAAAACAAAGAGCAGCTCCACAAATAGAAAATAAAACAAAAGCCGAGTGAGTCCCTAAAGTACTTTCTCTCCTCCTCCGCCCCTGTGCTGCCACGTTTACGGGACAATCTGTCTATTCTTAAGAAAGAAAAGCCCTGACAGCCAGACGGGAGCCAGGGAGAGACCAAGCACCCGTGGTAATAGCTGACATTAACATGTAAACAACGCCGGGAAAGAAAAAGAAAAAAAAATGGGTGGGAGAGGTCATTAATACTGCTTCAGTGTACAATGTCAGTACTGTGGCTAATATTGTTTGTAATGTTTGTTTTTACTTGGTGTTGATGAATGATTGGGGTCCCAGGAGAGAAGAATTGTATTTTAATATTCTATTCAACCAAAGAGCCATTGTTGCCTCTCAGATTGTTTGAGTCATTTTTATAGGCCCGAAGAGATAAAACTTTCAATTCAAACATCTGTAACAACTATAATACACCTGCTGTGATAAGTCAAGTGATGAGTCTTCTGCGATGTCTCAAAAAACATCATCATCATCATCATGATCTGGTGATTAAAAGCATATTTTTAACCATTTGTATACTGTATTTGTATTTGTGATTCACACCTCGTGCTTCACTACAACCTCATATACTTCTATACAACACTTAGGTGTTTATAAATGAATGCCAGATTTTTGCAGCTCTCGCTATACAAAACGTCCTGTGTGAACTCAGAACTCAGCTCAGACAGACACGCATGCCTTTTTTAATGTACACATGTTTAGAAATAGTAATGGCTTTCTAAGTAATAGCTGTTTTTTTTATGTATTGTAATTAATGTGTTATCATGTGTTTCATATCTGATGTAGATGAGTCAAGTTTTAACCGATGTCTGGTTTCCTGTGTTCTATAAAACAGATGTACTGAAGGGCGTAGCTTTTTGCTATCTTACTTAGACTTTCCTTCTTGGGGCTGGGGTGGGAGAGAAGCAGGGGTGTGTGGGGCGGGGGAGGGATTCTTTTTTGACTGTTTTATTAGTTACTAAATGTATTGCTTACCTACAAGTTAGTTGACATAGAACTATTAGAAGCTCCTCCCTTTTTGCATAGAAGACATTTTAACATGATGACGCAGCTGGACTAAAGCGAGACTGCCAGGCTTGGTCAGTATTTTTTTAACACTTTCCAACTGCTAATTACTGAATTAAATATTCTCAATTTTACCTGATGCTGAAAATGTTGACTTCCATTAGCTGAATGCTGAAGATAAATTAAGTATTTTTTTCTTGAATGGAACTGTAATTGAATATATAGGGCTAGAAGTTTCTCCATGCTACTGCAAGGTTTTTAAATCCAGTCTCAAGCAGATTCCCATTAAAACTGCAGCACTTACACTCAGTTGCTATCCAATTAGGACATGTTGGGCCTCAAAGAAGTGATATAACCAACCTGGTTATGGCCAATCAACTTAGGCATCTTAAGCAGATATATTCATATGTTTCATATTGCATGTCAGGGCAGAGAGAAAGTTTATAGTTCCATGAATGGTCAGAACTGTTTACTGGCCTAAATATGACATCTAGTGGATGTTAATTGGCTACTACACCTTTCACTCTGTCTGTCCTTCATTTATCCTTACCCGACATACACCATGTGAAGAGACAATCTGCAATGTACTGTAGTGATACAATAAACTCAGCAATAAAAAAGGTAATATTCCCTGTGGTTAAAAAGCTATGGCAAAAATCTAATTTAAATTGATTAAAATGCCAAAGAAATATTTTTAATTATTGTTTATACAGAAACATAATTAAAAAAGCAATATTTATAACTTATAAAACACACTGACTACACATTGTTAGAACAAGATGTAGATGAGTCCATGTCTTCAGGTTTGTGTGCTGGTTGTGTGTCTCGTGGTGTGATGGCCTTCTGCCTTGTGAAGCACACACTGCTGCTGTGTTTTCTCCTCCAAGCTCCTCTCCGATAGTCACGCTCTCTCTCTCAGCCTCCTCAACACGTGGAGCTCTGCCGCCCTGATGTGAGCTTCCCGTCTGGACCAGGTAGCAGGTGACCAGCTTCAGGTTCAGTCCTTCAGGCAGATCAAACTTCCCGTCTGCAACTCCTGCCGGCTGTAAAGTAGAGCCTTTCTCGTCCTCCTGCTTCTTCTCTTCTCTTCCCGCTGACTCCTCAGCTTCCCTGCCCACCTTGCCTTCACAACAGCTCCTCTCGGGGAAAAGCCTTGCGGTGTCCAGTCAGGCCAAAGACCTCTTCCCTCTTTCTCCCAGCTGGTAGAAAATCGCGTTCTGCACGGCCACGCTGGATTCCGGAAAGCTGCTCGCTCTCCTCCAGGATCTTTGTGTTGAAGTTTGTCCATCAGCTCCAGATCTGCTCTCGAGCTCCTGTAGGTTTCTCTGCAGTAGATCCTGCCTGGTGAGCAGAGGTCTTTGACCTCCTGGCCACAGATCTGCGTACAGGCCAGTAACAACGTCCACTGAATGGACCTCGAAGGCAGCTGGACATCCATGAGAGCACAGCATCTTCACTGGTGTTTTAGTGCTTGAGTTCCTCCTTGTTTGTTGAGATGAACCGCTTGTTCAAATTGTCTGTTTCTCTTCTGTGTTGCTTTCTCGTCTCAGCAGTGGGACTGTCCTCAGCTTTCTATATTTCCTGACTGGAGCGAGCTCCGAGGCTTCAGGACAGTTTCCTCGTCATTTACCACAGCCTCTCCCACTGGCGTGGGGCCTGTTACTCAGGAGTGCTGACGTCACTGGATCATTCCTGTTTGATCAGGAAGTTTTCTCTGTGAGACATTTCACTTTGGGAGTGGGGTTAACAGGGGGGAGAGAGTTTCTATTTCGAATTTGCATGTTATCATTAAGAATGTTTTGATCGATTCACGATTACTGATACTATGGATAACATGTAACAGTTGTTACTCAAAGTAATCTCTAGGCTGCACTTTTTCCATGTGTACTGAAATACATTGAGCAAAATGTGCTTAGGCAGTCATTCAGATAACAAAAGTGAGAGGAAATTGAGTCTTCATGAAATTAAAAGAAGTCATATAATATACATTTTGTTACATTTCCCAGACGAACAAACAGCCTTCCCCCCTTCAGAAAAACCTTCCCAGTGTATTTTAATGACCATTATAACATGTATAGACATTTTATTTATTCTATTTTTACTTTTGAAAAAGATCTCTCAAAGCATTTAGGCTATTTGTATAATGTGTGAAGCATGGAATGATTGTTGGTTTCCAGCACTGAACTGATATGATTCAGTCTATTTTATTTTTAAACTGTATAGAGAATCAGAACATTTACAAGTTGAAACTTTCCCCGTGCCAAATAGATTTTGTGGTCATTTTTTTAAGGCGAGGGTTTAGGTAGAGGACCATAAACATGAGAAATATTAGAGTTTCACTCACTTATTGTACTCACTCAAATGCACTTATTATAGGGGGAAAGCACACATCACTCATACAAAATTAGTTTTAATATTCAACCAAACCTAGGGAGGGAGGGATTTTTTTAATAAATAACCTGCATCCTCATGTAGGGACACAAACAAACGGTGGTCACAAACATGAGTGGAGGTCGGACATCCTTCCCTTTGATGGGACAAATCCTATCAACCAGGGCTTTATTCTGGGCCGGAACACTGGAGCTAAATCCCATCAGCGGGATGGAAGATGAATAGCGGCATGGTCGTCTGTGTGAAACAGGCTGCAAAAACAAGCTCCTTTCCCTTTTTATGAATGAACGCTGGGTCTCATGATCCGGCCAGCCAATGAGCTGCTCGCACCTGCACCCCCTTTGCAGCTCTGCAGCAACAAGAGGTCACTACACTTGAAAACGTGGAGGGAAGAGCGGAGCGCACAGCAGCGACAGCCCGCAGCAGCTTCACTCGGATCGGGCAGGCCATCATACGCACATACAGGGACACCAGAGAGGGGCTCCTTGTTCCATCAACAGACCGCGATGCCGCTGAATAACGGCAACACCGTGGCCGTGGAGAGACGCATGGATCTGGCCTCGCTCTTCTGCATGATCGGGCGGCACGGTCCCGCCGTGGCTCTGGCTGTCATAGCGATGGTGTCCGTGCTGGCGGGTTTCATCATCTACCGGACCGTGAGGGGGAAGCGGAGGAAGGCCACAGCCGCAGCCGGGGACGGAGACGGGAGGAGCGCCGGAGCGGAGAGAGACGCAGCGATGGTCCAGTCGAGCCCGGAGGAATCCCGCAGCTCCGTGGAGTCAACAGGTAAAAAAGATCCGCAAAAAAAAAAAAAAAACCTGTCAGGCGAAGGTTACTGTGGTCTACAGGTGTGGGAATTCACAGGTCACTATAGGAATATTAGCCTATAGGTGATGGTGATTCGGTTTAGGACCCCAGAAGAAATACAGAGGAATATCTTAGAAATATGACAGTCCTGTGAGAAATGCAATGCCATAAGGAGCCTATAAGAGCACCCTGCTGTAGATAATGTTAGTATTGATATCTAGCCTGAGTTATGTTACAGTGGTACTTTATAAATAGGGTATCATAGCATAATATTTAGCCATTATTATCTCTGGGACATAAGTCGAAGCTGACCTCATAGGCCATACTGATCCAGATAGACATTTAAAAGGACAGATGAAATGACCATAGTAGTACAAGTATTCTAAAAGTACATTAACTGCAGTCCTCTACATGGGTAGGCCTATACACATTTGAACTACTTCCATGCTACTTTATACTTCTGCTGCACCACAATGCAAGAGGGAAATAATATACTTTTAGTACATTCATCTGACAACTGGAACTACTGGTTACTTTCCAGATTAAGATTTTGCAAACAAAACATTTAATGAGCTCATAAAATATGATGCATTGTTAGATTAAACTACAAAACTACAAACTATAAAATGGTTAAAACTGATTCAACCTCGACCAACAATAAAAATAAAATGCTGCTTGCACATGAGTGCATCCACAAAAATAATCTAGTAACGTAATATGTAATAAAATAACACTCGCATAGGGCTATTTTTCTGAAATATGAGTTCTCCTGCATTGTACATAATGCTATTAATACTATACTGGATTCAGCTACAGACATAATGAGATCACGCTGTCTTATAAGGGTATGCGAGAGAAATACTTGCCAGGTCAAATAAGGCTTGATAGGAGAAGACATACAATCAACAAACAATCACTATTGCTAAGTGAATGGATTACTTAGACTTTGATTAGATTTTCTGCTGTCCTGCCATTTTACAAAGGTACAAAGATGGATAGTACAAAAACATCATTTGTTTCTTTGTAAACTCATCAAATATTCATATACAGGTTCAAGTAAAATATAGTTTAGTTTAAAATAGTCTAATATTTAGAAGCACACCACTCATCTATTCTACTTTTCAAGTTATAAAGTCTGACATAAATAAACCTCAATCAAAAATAAACTCAATGTACTGTAAATTATATTACTAGTGTTTGGTATTTGTGTAAAGTAGTTTAAGTGTTGTGTGTTGTATAATATGGGCTTTTTTCTATTTTGTTATAGACATGAGTGATGAAGGCTTATCAGATGTGAAAGAAGATGTTGAGCTGATTCAGAGTGACCTCAAAATCAGGCACCGCCGTGCTGCTGCTGCTGAGAAGAAATCTCCACCTTATTCTCCTCCCAAGAGTGACAACCAAGAACCAGACATCAAGCACACCACTTCAGCTCACACAGAAGAAATGCATAGAGAGGTGTATGCAGAAGAGGCCAGTCAGGGCCTGCAAAGTGATACTTACACAGTGGCTGAAATGGTGGATGAGGATGCAGTTGATTGCCACCAGGGTGCAACAGATGGCATTGTTGAGGATGTGATAGAAGAGGGTCGTGATAATGATAGCTGCTTGGAGGAGTCTGAGCTGATTAATGATGAGAACCATGAGGAAGAAGAGAAGGTAAGCAGCCATTTGTGTCTGTGTGAGACTGAAATGTCATTTCAGAGGCATGGACAAACACACCAACTTCAGTAGATTATTTTAACGCGTTATATTAACCATAAGTTATATAACTTTGAGTAATTTGCACTTTGCAGCTCTTTGCGGCTTTGCTATCAGTTTATTGTTTTGGTTTACTGTATGGGTCAGTCTCACTATTCTCAACAGCCCCTTTTCTATCAGCATCAGATAAACCCATTGTATGCTACTGACTCTTTACCGCATACCAGACAGACAAAGTGAACAAGCAGCTGGTAAATAAAGTGGAACATCTAGAAGTTAAAGAGTCGGATATTTGGAGTTTGGAGTTTGAGCATAGATAGGGTAGGTAATACTGGACTTTCATTTATCTGGTGGCCAGAAACACAATCAATGAATGCTAATGTTGCTCCATGACTGTTGGATGTGTAAATAACCTACTAACGTGTTACTACATTTTTAAAGACGATAATATCTCAGTACAGTGTATGTCAGCTTATTGTGAAGCTTTTGCCCCCACCTGGCCAAAAATCAATGAATGCAGCTTTAAAGTAATAGTTTATCAGTTTTGGAATATGCTCTTTCTTGCAGAGAGTTAGATCAGAAGATTGTAGCAAACATGTCCATTAAATATTAAGCTACAGCCAGAAAACAATTAGCTTAGCTTAGCACAAAGAAGTAGGAGGAAATGGCTCTGTCTAAAAGTAACAAAATCCGACAACTGGCACCTATAAAGGTCACTAATAAACACGTAATATCTTATTTCTATCCATACCAAAACTGAAGTGTAAAAACAATAAAAACAATGGCAACCTCAGAGAGGGCAACCTTAACAAGACTCAAGGAAGTCACAACACCCGGCCAAGAAATAGACAAACACATAACCCCATGTTCCACCACAATTTGTTGATTTTACAAATGACATATAATGTGTTCATTTTGTTACCTTTGGACAGAGCCAGGTTAGCTGTTAACCTTGTTTTCCAGTTTAAACTAACCTAACCAGTGGCATGGCTGTAGCTCCATATTTAGCAGATGTATAGAGTGGCGCCAATCTCATCTAACTCTCGACGATCGTCTGATCTACCTCTCGGCAAGAGAGCAAATAAGTATAATTCCCAATTTGTCTGAACTGTTTCTTTAAGGATTTGGAGCACCAACACACATTTCTCTCTCACCTACATATCCGTTATCCTTAGACCTCATTCTCTCTGTGGTTTCAGACTAGTGCAGACCAGGGAAATTACAGGTAGTGTTTCTGGTTTACCCCTGTGTACTTTATATTATGTCTTGTATGTATTTTTATCTACAGTCTGACAGACTGAAGTTAGACCTGCAGATACTAAGTTTCTATTCATGTGTCTAGGTGTTAAAGGGAGAATGCCAGGAAGATAAGGATGTGACCACAGACAAGGATGTTTCAAACAAGAAAACCAAACAAGAGGAGGAAAACTTTGAGTGTACTTTGAACAATCCAGTGTGCTTCGAACAAACCCCTCATATGGGTGAAAAGGGTGACGACGACAGACTACAAGATAAGAAAACCACACTGAAAACAAATTGGGTGGAATCCAGCTCGGAGGAGCCTGTCATTTATACTGAAGATGTACCTGTTTCTTGCATCTGTTATTGCAAAGATGAGAAGTTTGAGGAAGAGAATGCACATAGTATTGATTGCTATAATTATTCCTGCAAAAAACAAGTTTCTCCAGAGGAGGAAAAGAAAAATGAAGGTGAGGAGGCAGTAGAAGAGTGTGAAGAATACAAGGTAATTGCTCAACAAGATGAGATGTGGTCCTCAACATTTGAAAAAGAAACAAACCTGCCATCTACAGAGCAAGACCAGTGTGACCATGTAACGGACAAGGTGACACCGCTTTGTCAGGATAGTGATTGGGATGAAGATGGTTGTCTAGCTGCTGAAGTGATTGAAGAGCTAAGAGATGAAGACTACTTGAATGAAGCTGTCAGATCTGGCGACCAATTGCTGCAGTTCAACAAGCAAGAAGCAGTGATCGAACAAAAGGAGGAAATTGGTGAGGACAGTGTTCTTTATGATGGTGCTGATCAAGTAAACGAGAAAATGCTGACTAGTGACGACATTGTTGTCTGTGGTGAAGAACATGACAGTTCAAGTGTGCGTTTGAGCGTACCTATAAAGGTTGATAATCAAGACGATAAGATAAAAGAAGATAAAATAGCTCTATGTCTGCATGAAGATACTGATTCTACTACTCTTGGCCCTCAAATGCCATCACATAAGACAGAAGATCTGCCTGAGAGCAGTGGAAATAGCACAACTGTGGTGTTGGCAGAAGAATGCAATGACCAACTGTATGACCCTCAGGACAGTGTTCTTTATGATAGTGCTGATCAAGTAAATGAGAAAATGCTGACTAGTGACAACATTGTTGTCTGTGGTGAAGAACATGACAGTGTGTCACTACCCTGTTTGAGCATACCTATAAAGGTTGAGAATCAAGACGATAAGATAAAAGAAGATAGAGCTATTTTATCTCTGGATGAAGATACTGATTCTACTACTCTTGGCCCTCAAATGCCATCACATGAGACAACAGATTTGCCTGAAAACAGTGGAAATGGCACAACCGTGGTGTTGGCTGAAGAATGCAATGACCAACTGTATGACCCCCATATTCAATCTTGCTTCAATGACCAACAAAGTGTCCAAATGATAAATAATGACGTTTTTGACAAGGCAAGTGTCGCTGCTGATCCTGATACGGCTGAAAGCATAACTGCTTCTGTAATAACTGAAGAAATATCTTGTCCTAACCTGCCATCTATTTGCCAAGACCAACAAAGTGACCACATGGAAAATAATGAAACTTTTGATGAGATATGGGTTAATTCTGCCACAGATGCACCTGCCTGTGATAATGCCAACATTGTCCCACCTGGAATGTCTGAAGAATTATATCATCCTGACATGTCTTCCTCCCAAGACCAACAAAGTGACCAAACAAAAAACAAGGGAGATTTTTCAGAAGTTACCACTGGTACTGCTCCTGTCATGAGTAAGGACATTAGCCATCCCATGTGTCAGATTCACTTGCTGTCTTTCGAGCAAAGTGAGCTGAGGGATAATGACATATCATCTCCTGGTGTTGGCGAAGAGAGTGGGATTTCAAGCATGGCTGTCAGCCCTGATTTGCAGGATCCTGGTAAGGAGTTTGATATGACCGTTGAAAATATGGCGCTTCGGGTGATGGATTGTGATCTACTGCCCAAGGGACAGACGGAGGCTCAAAACAGCATATTTGCTGATGATGTAGCTATATCTGTCATTGAAGAAGATACAGCAGGTAGAGTGTTCGGGCCTTACCCTTCCCAGCCACCCCACAGTAAGTACACAGATTGGACTACTTATGAATTATTTGCAGCCAATGAGGACATGTTTGGCCATGAGATTGAGGATAGTTACCACAGAGAGATGGATCAATTTACAGCTCAGATTGCAGCCAGCATTACTAGCTTAACTGATGAGTTGAAAATACAGACCGACATGAAAGCTATCGTTGAAGTCGTAGAGATTAAAGAGAAGAAGGCAGGAGTAATTGTTGAAAAGAAAGAGGAAACGAAAGCAGAGAAGGAGGAGGAAGAGGACAATGAAAAGACTGAAATCAGTATCATGGAGGCAACTATGGACAATAACGAATGGATCACGGAGAGTAACTACCAAGTCCTTCCCTGGATGAAGCTTTCTGCGCCATCTTTTTCCCAAGACCACACAAAAACTAGCCAGCTTCCCACCGAAGACAGCCAATGCAGCTCAGCTGTAACAGACACCACTTGTACAGATACATCAGATACCCCCCCTTCCACTGAAGTCAAAGAAAACAACACCCTCTCCCTAGTTGACGAAAGCATGGAAAATAACAAGAAGGTTGTGGCAGTCCAGCCCATGCCCCAGAACGTCAACGTGACCTTCCATGTCCATTATTTTACCCAATCACCATACCAGACTGTGGCTGTCACAGGGAATCTGCAGGAGCTGGGAAACTGGAAGGGATTCGTCCCGTTAGAGAGATCAAAGGATGGGCACTGGGCCACTGTGGTCAGCCTACCCGCAGAGAGCCATGTGGAGTGGAAGTTTGTAGTAGTTGACAAGGGTGAGGTTTGTCGCTGGGAGGAATGTGGCAACCGTCTCCTTGATACGGGTTTTGGAGATGACCTGCTTGTGCAAAAATGGTGGGGACTCTTCTAAGAGGTGAGGTGAGAGGAATATTGGGAATGATATGTACAGTAAGCTTTGGTACTGGTCACTGGACCAGATAAAAGTCAAGTATTTGTACAGCCCGTCACAAGACCCACATGATGATACAGTATATTAAATGTCACCTAGGTCCCTTTTGCACTGTATCACAATATTATGAATACATACTAGTAAGATTTGTTAAATTTGGGGGACAAAAGACATCTAGAGGTCAAGGATAACAACTGGGTTTAATATCAAGGTAACTAACCAATGTTTCAGCAACAATTAAGATCAGTTGGATATTTTTTTAAGCAAAAAGCTGGTTTTGGAGTTTTGGTCAGACAAAAGCAATATAGAGATGTCATCTGAACTTGATAGGCATTTTTAATCACTGTCTGACATTGTATTGACTAAAGTTAATCAGTCATTAAAACAATTGCTGCAGCACTATTATGTTTTAACATGTAGTTAGAACCTAATTCACACTGAAAGAGTTTTACAATTTTGTTTTAAATTTTTACCATATTTAGACCAGATGTCTAGACATATTTTGACCTGCAAATTCCAACAACATGATTACTGGGATAAAGCATCGTCGAATGGGACTTTTCTTAGAGGATTTCTCTCTAATAGCCAATTATTAGGTGGATCTTTCAGGGAACTGAAAAGATTGCCATCAAAAGACAGAAGTATCACATAAATCGTCTTTCTTTTTTCTGTGGCAGTATCTATGATTATGCAAACTGCACCCTTTTTAAAAAGTGGGTAATTTAATGCAAGTGTTTAATTTGTATAAATGGAGACATTATTCTACTGTCTATATGCTGCTTAAATACCCCCCAACAATCTATGAGAATAAATGCACATAGTTCACTTTTACTACAGCAATAATAAAAGCAATAATTGTTCTGTTTTCAGTATGACTATCAGTATGATGTTTTATCAGGTATTCTATTGTGTTTACCACTAAACTGTGATATAGTTGTAACTTTGATGCTGCTTTTATCTTGTGGGACTTTGCATGCAAGATTGTCCCATTGTTGTTCTATGAATGTGCCTTTTAAACATGTTTTTCTATTAATGTGTTACAATGCATCAAAACAGTGTGGCTTGTCTTTTTAAACACCTTTGCTGGGCATCATTTTCTCTGTTTCACTACAACTTTAAGTGAATTAGTTACAGTATATTAATTGTTTTCTCAGAACTGATGCTGTCAGTTTATTTTCTTGTTGTTTCATTTCTTTATTAGTGTCAAATATAGTATATAAATCTTAAATATTATCAGAGTATCTTATTATGCAAAATTGTGATGATAATGCAGTTATTGATTGTCATTAAGGTGAAGTTGGTGACCAAATAAACAAATCTTCTGTCATATCTGAGTATTTACGTTTCTTATACATGTTACTTCATTGAAAGAAGGTGTCTCACTCCCTAAATAAACTTGGAAATTCATTTTCAGTGATTTTAGTTACTTGAACTACTCCAGTATTTTATGCAAGCAAAACCAGATTAAGCTAATTTAATAATACTTCTGTATTACTCTTGTCCACTATTTTTCATATTTTGCAGCTTGTTTTTGACAGGATGTGTTTGTGACCTTTAAAGTATATCATGTTGTCTCTAAGAGCAAAGATATTATTTAATATATATAATATATAATAGGCATTGCAGTCCATTTGTGAAGAGAGACATTTGCAGATCTCCCTTCCAAATAATTATATTTTTTTTACAATTAAGTATGGCAGGTCTACTCTACTATTTTTCAACCAAGCCCCAACATGTACACATGATGTGCTGTTGAGTCTTCATTTCTGTGAATCATTATCTGCTGTTGCAACAAACAAATAGCCAACACACACAGATTCAGTCTTGTGAGGTCTCTCTAAACCGATGCTGAAATCTTCTTTATTTTATTTTTAATATCTGTGATTCGAACAAAAAGCCAAGATCGTGACCTTGTTCTGATTCCAGCTGGCTCAGAGGTGGATCATGCAGGCAGAGCGTCATTAGCAGGCGTATTTTCATGCCAGCTTGTCAACTCCACTCAGCTCTGTGAAGGTGACTCTGCTCTATCTGAAAAGAGGGTGCTCTTCATCTTCCAGTCCAGGGACTCCATGGATGGTGAATAGCACACACACACGTGTACGCATGCACAAGTGCAATGTTTTGCCAGTCCTGTAAATGATTAATCTGCACTGCAGGAAGATAGGAGGTTTTGTGAGGTTATTTCAGAGGATAAAACTAATGGGTAAGCAGTGCTGGAAGAAGAAAGGGGGAGGCATTATGGGAGGAAAGAGTGAATTGTTAATGGTTCATTGGAAGTCCAACAAATAGAATAAATTCATAGTAGGTCATGCACAGTAACAAATAAATTATCCTTCAAAAAGGCAAACAAAACATTCACTGTTCATTCATAATGAAAGAAGACTTTGTAATTTAAAAAAAAAAGAATTGAACACACATTTTACCAGCCTAATCAGAATCAGAATCAGAATCAGAAATACTTTAATAATCCCAGGGGGAAATTATTTTTGTTACAAGACTAAGGGGGAAAAAAACTCCAGATATACAAACAACACAGGAACACTCCCCATGTTGACCTTTTTATTTACATGTAAATGTTACAAGTGAAATGTGATCCCTGCTGTGGTTCCACATTTGGAAGACCCCTCCACTTCTGAACCATCAGATATGACCAATACTCATGGGAGCCTCAAACCCTGAACCATTGCGGGATTAACACCATGCACCCCTTAGCCAAACAAGGCCTCACGGACTCATTTGACTCACTTCAAATGGGGTCAACAGAACTCTGCCCACCTGTAAGTCACGTGATTTCAGTTTCAAAACAGGAGTTCAGGGAACTTTTGCCTGTTTGCCCTAGTGCAGAGGGCCAAATATAACAACACATGATGTTATATAGAGGCTCTGTTTGCACTGAAAGCCTCACAGCAGGAAAATCTTTTATTCCTGTGTCTGATTCTAATGAACTCAATAGAAAACTTATTAACACAATAAGGTGTCCATTAGAATGACCTATAACACAGTAAAACTGAACATAACTAATTAGAACAGCTTCAGATTCTTTAATAAACACCTTAATCAAAAGCCAGCCGAGATTATTGGTAATATTAATGTGATCTCATGGATCATGTGTGTTGGTTTTTGTGGCGTGTAAATGCAGCACACTGCCTCACTAGTGCTAATTTGGCAGCTGGGAGTGTGCACACTTTCTAAGGTTGAAGGTAATCCTTTATTTAGACACAAGGCTTACAACTGACACCACTTACAATCTACTCATAGATAACGCTCTCTTTGTATGTCTCTCTCTATCTCACATAGACATACACATATACACACACACTATTTGTCAGATATTTAAACAGTTAAGCCACCGTTGGATCAATGTTTGATCTCTGTTAAGGCAAAAGTCTTAACACTGAGTCATCGCTCTTATCTAACGCCCCTCTGTCAGGCTCTTCACATATAGAGTAAGGTTGTCTAGAGTGATGAAAGCCTTCAAATCAGCACCCTAAAATGTTTTCTTTCTTCCTTTTTTATTCTTGAGAGAAGTGAAGTTTTTAACTGCCCATAATGAAATCCTTTGCATGGAATTATGGACGATTCTTCAATGGACCGGAACTTAATTCCCCAACTTTTATCCTGTGATTGTTTTGGCAGCAACAATAAAAAAAATTAATCAAATCTCCTTAATGTGTCTACCTAAACAACATGCACTACCTGCTCAGAACCAAACAGCAGGCAGACACAGTTAGCGATAAACTGGTGAACATAGTGGAGCATTTAGCAGCTAAGGAGCCTGATATTTCCCTCAGGAGTTGGTAGAGACCAAAAACAGAGCTAAAAATTAGTCAACATGGACTTACATTGGCCAGGTGGCCAAAAATTTGACTGAATATGTCAGTTTTGTGGTCATGATCAAATTTACTAAACATGAATGTAAATTTCAGAACAATCGGCCAACTAGATTTTGATATTTGTTGTATATTTGAGGAAATATTATATATTTTTAGAATTTCAGAGACAACAAATACAATTGAAAGTCTTGCTCTTAGATTTCAAGGAACCTTTTTGTGTACCCAAGTGCTGGCCAAAGGAAAACATATGAAAAAAAGAGAGAATCATGAAAAGCCATCCTCTGAGGACCATCAATGCCCATACCAAATAAAATGGCAGTTTGGCAGGAAGTTATTAAGATTATTCTCTGAACCAAAGTGTCGGATGCACAGACTGAGTCACCTAACCAGGTAAAACATTGTTCAACAAACAACCAGCAATAATGTCATCTGTGACTAAACATATACATGATGTCTGCTTCCTCTCTCTGTCTGTTCAGACACTTCTGGAGGTTGTTCTCTCCACAGAGCAGCAGACTGTCGCCTGTTGCCTGGGAGACTGAAACACACAGTGATCCTCAGTCCAAGTTGGACGACCAAGTGTGAAATTCTCTTTAAGTCGAGTCCGCTGTCTCCTCTTACAGAAGCCGACCAGTCCTCAGCTTTCCACTTGAACTTCGACCTAGGGAGATTGTATGATAATACCACAGCGTGTGCATGTGTCTGTGTGTTCATTTGTACTTTACAGTGTCTTTGCCACAACATTTGTATGCATGTCTTTATACATAAATGCTCACTGTACTTTGACTCCCTTTCATTTTCTTTTCTCTTCTCTGTCCCTGATTCATCCGAGTTTCTGTGTCAAATCAAACTGCTTTTTATTCCTGGCATAATAAATGTCAGCGTCTATTAATAGCACAAAGAGTTTAACTGACTTCTTTATTTGTCACTGCTCCATCACTGGCATCACTGGCTTCCCTTTTTCAATTATATGGGCTGAAAGGTAGGTGGTGGAAAATATTAAAATGACAATTCTCTGGTTAATCAGAAATAGGATCTTAGGTTGTTGCAAAATGAAAAAGTACACGGCTGTGGTTTGGGTGTTCCACACAAGCAGGCTATTTATAAAGCATACCAGTCCTCATTCCTGTTTCATACTGTGGGATCATTCAGTGACCTTCACTGTGGAGCCTGCTGACTGTGCTGCATGGCCATAAAGGGAGGAGCAGAGCAAGGGTTAAACTGGAGGGGAAGGAGTTTTATTTTCTGACCTTTATGCTGAATATGTATGGCATTCAGGCGCATCATCAAGGTTGATTTTGTGATTTTACAACACAAGGTTCCACAATTAAATTGTATTGCATACATGCCACACATGTTTATCTATTTATCATGTCAAGTGGATATCTGTCTATCTGCAAGTGAGGAGATCTGATTTGGAAAATCTGTAACTTCTAATGGTCCTTAAAACATAATTTAAAAACTGGCTTTTATATAATTACTACATAATTTCTCAGGAATTGTATTCTCTTTTATTCTCTCTCTCTCTCTCTCTCTCTATTCCATTTTTATCTTTTTTGTGTATTTTTTCATAAATGTTTGTGATTATGAACTACTTGTTTTGTCTGTAAAACGCAGTTTCACTGTGTTTCACAAGGTGCGCATTATTGCTCACAGCCATAAACTGTAATACACGTCAACACTTTTCTTGTTTTTTGCAGATCAGAAATCAAGCTTTTCTGGACCTGTGCCATGCTGGGACAGCCCTCCACCAGTGATGTCATTGCTCAGTAGCCCCAGAGGACACTGCAGTTGTAGGCTGAATACAGTATGTCTGCAGATGTAACGGTACAGTATATATGGGAGTGAAGATGGTGGGAGAGGAAGGCAGAGAGAGAGAGAGAGAGAGAAAGTGCATACATAATGCAAACAAATCTGCAGGAGGTTTGGGTTGAGGCTACCTAAAAGAGGTCAGGTTATAAAATATTTACAGTAATAAGACATTTTGGTCCTTCATACAGATTCTGACGTCTCTGTGTATCTTGTCACAGTGTGTATGTACAGGTCTGTGTGGCATGCATGTTTCTATCAATCAATACAACATTTACAATATCTACATAGTTTTAACTGTTTGTTTGAATCTTTTATTCTCAATTTTTATGATATGTTGTATCTGTGGGGGTTCTTAAGTACAGAAACCACAATTTGTAAACTGTTTCCCATGTGTACTTGACCTTTTGTCAAATATTTGACAAAATGATTCTCCATATTTGATGTCTTTTTTAATTTAAGCACTGTGAGCACAGTGAGGTTCTGATATAGCAGTGTCGTATTGAATGCTCCAGAAAAATGAATGAATATGTTTACATCACTCCAATATTCTTCATTCTTCTACTGTATCTTTATTACTACCTTTGCCCACAGCTCTTTTGGTTCGCCTTAATGGTGAAACAATTTATCAAAAAAAGACTATACAAGTCAGTCAAGTTATCAGTTTTATTCACAGATGACGTAGAAACTTTGTGACGATCGTGATGATCAAAACTTCTATCAGCCAACAAAAGTCTTTTCAGATGTGAATCAGAGTGGCCTGACAATACAATAAAAGACACAATGGCAAAATATGGGTTTGGACTAGAAAAAGGGATTTTATGAGTAATATGTGCCGTCTGCTGGTCGTTGCACTGTCTGTCATATGACACTTAAACCATTACTGTAACTACTATATTTCAGTTACAAAGACAACACTGACCCCTGGCTGTACTTTGAAAGTACTGTGACTACGTGGTACTGATTGTGATGCATCCCGTCATACACAGACAGATTATTAACAAAGAGCAGAACAATAATAAAACAATGTTTAAAATCTTCATGTGAATAATCGTGTAAACAAGAGTGAAAATAGATTCATAGTAGATTTCAACTGAAACTGAAATCACAGTTTTATCTTTTCTCATGACAACCTGAGTATTGACAATTCACTTGAGTGAAACGAAAAAAATTAAAAAGGTACAAAATGCAACTTCGAGTTGCAGGCAGTGTGGTAATCCGGTTTCACCAGATCAGATAGTGGCAACCTTTACATTTTTTACTTTACTTTCTAAAAAAAATCACAGATCACAATACAAATTTACAGCGTTAATCTCGTCGCAGTTTCTGCTTTTAAATGTTTCATATCATTAAGTACAAACTGCATACAGTTTTTCTGTCTGTTTCCCAAATCTTACCATTGATTTTCAATCTGACTTTTTACTGTCCAGGCTGCCTAATCATGCTTGAGACAGGTGACACTTTTATTTTCCTGTCAAATCTACATGATCCGCCCTGGCACCTGTGGAATTATCTTCAGGTTGCACTGTCTTGGAATGACAAGACTAGTTTTGCTGTAAACTAGTCAGTGTAATGACAATAAAGTTAACAAGCTGCTGTGAAATGATGTGAATTTAAGCTCTTCTTTTCGCAATTAAAAAGGTGCATTTCAGCATCTGACTCTCAAATTGCAGATAATGTATGAAGTGTGCTTGAATGTATATTCTAGAAAAAGTCCCTGTTAGAAAGTTTAACCACATGACAGTGACGAATCTTCAGGCAATTAAATAGAATTAGAAATATCTGTCTAAAACCTTCTGGTATGCCAACAGTAATGTAGACCAGCAGTTCCCAAACCTGTCAAGGACCCCCATAATAGATGCACATTAGACAACTGACCACCAATTTGAGAGGACATTGTCTTTTAGAGAATCCCCTCTAAGTAATTAAAACATTTTTTTTATTTATTTGAAAATAATTAAGTCTTCAAAGTTAATCAATGATCAAATGGGCAAACCAATTAATTCCCTTGTTATTCCAACTTCCAAAAAATGTGTTTAAAGTTCAAATATTTTATTCCTTCTTTTGCTGTGGACCCCCTACAACCCACTCAAGGGCCCGTGTTGGTCCCTGAACCCCAGTTTGAAAACCACTGATGTAGACTACAATATATGAGAGTACTCATTAAGCTAATTCAACATTCAAAAGCACCAGTGCAGTCCTTCAAGGCCGTATGTGCTGCCAAGTTCAGCATGTTCAAAGTGATATCAACATTTATCCGTTAGAAATAAGTCAGACTCAGATTTAAGTGTAAAGGTTTGGAAACAATCCAGGTAGTGGACTTGTGCATCCTCTAATGAGTGTGAGCTACGCTCCAAAATAAAAGCTTAGTATGCAGCTTCCACGCACTCTGCAGTGTCCCTGCATACCTCCGTCTAAGGGCTCTGTGACTCCTCCGGCTCCTCTGCAATGGTGCGGTAATGCTGTGGCTGATTCTGAGCCAGGGGAGAGTCTGTTTGGGTAAACAGGGCCGGCCGACTCCACAGCGGTAGTCTCTGCAGGAACTTCCGAGATGTCACCAGATCACCGTAGCCCTGGCTGTGTGAGAAGGCGTAGCCGGACCGACGGGTGCTGATACGCTTGCGATATGGAGCGCCAGGTTTAGCAACTGGCAGTGCCTCCTTCCGCATCTTATGTCTCACCTAGAACGGGAGAGAGGGGCAGGTCTTTAATGTGGTCTTAATATGGAGACATTTCCTCATTCAGGACAGTTTATTTTTCATTACTTCATATGCCTCTTGCATATGTGCACATATGCACAAACTCCTGGCTTGTGCACTATTTTATTCAACATGTCACAGACGCAGGGACGGCAGCCGACAGAAAAAGTGAATAACAAGAAGACAAAATTTGTAGAGAAACATTTAAAAACAATGTTTTTTTTGTAACATGTATTTTCAATAAAACAATCTGTGCTTGAAAATGAGAAAATTGAAAATGTCTTAGTGTCTAAATAACTCCATTTAGTAAAAGTGTGTGTTTTGTGAATTAAAACAAAGTTTTACAAAGAAAACCACTGCTTTCTTTATTAGCAGACAGAACCTTATGATTCCACGGTCACAATATTCCAAACATATTTTAGTTGCGGTAAATCTATATTAAACTAAGCAAATTTGACCTCTAGAGGTATAAATGTATCTGTATCAGTCTGCGATTGCATTTTTTATTTTGATTTTGCTGCCTAATCGTATCTCTAATATATCAGAAGGACAAATTGTAACCCACAGGGTAATATGGGAAGGCGGAATTGAAATGACATAGCGCCATTTAACATATTTTATCATTCAGAACACGATTACCATAAAAACAGGGTGCATATAAGACAGGAGGGCTTAATAGTCTGTGTCGTGCATTAACTGACCTTGTCGTTGATGGTGGGCCGAAGCTGAATGAGAATGAAGCGGAAAGCCACCACAGGCAGAATACAGAGGAGGGAGGTCAGGAATATGGTCAGCCAGACGTTAGGCTGGTTCAAAGAGTTCCTTGCTGTTCCTGAGTTCCAAAAGCATCACACAGGCAGTCAGAATCACAGAGTAAAAGGGTTTATTATTATACTCTACATTATTGAATATGGCTAACATCCAATGCATCAACAGCTAACAATGGAGGAATGAGGATGGAGGTTTGTAAATGGAGACTGGCAACCCACTTCTTAATAAACCATATTTAAATGAGCTGAATCTACTCACCAATGAAGGGGAACGAGGAGGTGAAGATGAGAAACATGCCGTTGCTGTACATGGTGAATGTGATGGCAAAATAAGCGGCCAGGCTGCCCCATACAAAAAACTGGTTCACTGCAGTCCAGTAATCGGTGTCCAGAGAGAGCTGAAAAATGGAATTTTGAATAATATATATATATTTTATTATTTTGGTGCTGTAAGAGGGGGTGGTATGAATACAATCTATCAGAGTAAATGTCACTGTATTGCAACAGCATATATGACATTAAAAAAAAGAAAAGACATTAATAAATAAAATAACCAAAGTGAATTGTTTTTTTTTTGGGCTAATCCAGTGTATTAAATTCGTTAACAAAATCAAGGCACTTCATCACACTGATACAAAAGTCCTGCAGCTTTAGTGTGCCCATGCTTCTGGTGACAGGAACCTTATTCCTCACCTGTATGTTCATTACAACCAGTAGACAGGTCTGTGCCAATAAAGCAAAGGACTGATAGTCGGCGATGTCCTTCCCATCGTCTCGGACCGTGTCCTGCATGGCGGCCCACGGGATGAAGAACAGGATGAGGGAGCTGTAGCAGCTGTGCAACATACAGCGCACAAAGGCTTTCTTACTGAAGTACAGGTTCAGCTGGCCTGGAGTGTAGAGCTGAGGATACTGGAAACTCCAGCGGTCATTCACATCCTACAGAAAGAGAAGAGAATTTGTCAAATACTGACAAATGATATGATATTTCAAACTCATGATTAACTGTCCCGTCTGAGTGCATACCTGGTCAAAGAGGCTCAGGCCGAGGACAGGAAGGGCTGTGTAAACCAGGTTGTACAAGGTGATGAACCACTCGTCGTACACAGTCTGTGAACAAGAACAGCAAAGACAATATTAAACATGTACATACAGCATTAATAATATTACATGTTGCTATGTATTCTGGAACGAATTGAGAACAGTTTACAGTCTTGTATCCGTACAGTATACATCAGTGTAACAGGTCACCAATAAATACTAGTGAATACTGTGTGCCTTACTAGATTCCTTGCTTTTTCACATGTAACCCATTAAACTATGTTCCATAATTCCATTCCATGTTCCTCACCTGTGCAGAGAAGCCGCAGAAGAAGGCGTACCAGAAATGCACAAAGGTGAAGGTGAAGTTCTTGTAGAAGAAATATCGTAGGAACTTGCACATGCGTAGGTAGGACCAGCGACCGTGCACCAGCAGGAGGCGCTGAAGGTAACGGAACTGGGCAAAGGAGTAGTCGCTGGAGAGAACTGCCTGCATGCCCTCCTGACCGCTGATGCCGACACCGATATGAGCAGCTGAAGGACGGACAGAAAAGGAATTCACAGAATTCATACAGTGAGAAACTAACTATTTTCCAGCTGTTTTGTTTTTATACAACTCTCTGGATCTTGTAATAGTGTTTGAGTTGAATGAGCTTACCCTTGATCATGCTGACATCGTTGGCCCCATCCCCAATGGCCAGAGTGACAGCCTGCTTGTATTTCTTGACCAGCTGAACCACCTGGGCCTTCTGCAAAGGGGTGACCCTGCAGCAAATCACCGTCTGACACATACAAGCTGTCCTCAACAGCTCCATCTGCAAGTTCTTCTCCAGTGCAAAGGCCTGAGAACGATAGAGAAGAAGGGTGTACAGGACTGTACTGAGGTCAGGAGTCCCCCCAATGCAACCATACACCTCTCAAAAACATCCAACCAAAATGAAAGTCTGCTCCACACTGTCAGGAATACAGTCAATTCTGGTGAGGAAATGATGAATCCTCCCTTTTTTCTTAAACTAAAGGCAAATGTAAATGTACAGACTCTAAAAATACTGGAATCAGGCTGTACATTTCCAATGGTTATTTTTTAATTGTACAATATCATCCCCCAGTGTGGTAACTTTTCAGACTGAGTAACTGTTTGGGCCCAGCCAGGCAACTTTATTTTTTTGAAAACAGGACATCCAGCAGGACATTTTCTGTATGGAGGACATGTGGAGAGAAAGGGTACAACATTTCTTGTTGATTCAGCTGCTCCTGAGAATAGTAATGTGCCTGAAAAAAGCCTTCTTACCAGACTGTGTCCATTTATAACTAGGCCATAATCTCCATCCACCTTCTCATCCTGCACAGTTTCTGTCCTCTGAAGCCAAAACAGGCCTGCGCGGGCCTTGATTACAGATGGCTCATCCGCAGCATTTGGACACATTTTCCTTCTTGCTTTCCTGAGGGACAGGGACATGGGGGCGGTTGGGTAAGTTAATAAAAAAATATTTTTTTCATTAATTGTTTTTTTGGGGTTGTTTTATAAAAGAAAAAAAAGAGTTTGGATAGAAACAAAAGCTTTAACATCAACTCATACCTTAACCTTACCTCAACTTAAAATATGACGCCAAAAGGGCAATGCCAGTTTTTCCGGTCTAATGATAAACTTTAATCAGCCACCGTCAAAAGCGGTCTGGTTTCAGAGTTTGGAGGAGAAGTGTAAACAATGCATTGCAACAGTGTGTTTATTTGCTGCAAAGTAAGCTGCAACTGTTAGCATGTCTAGCTAACTAGCTTAGCCTACTGCATCACATACAGTAGTAACTGAGCGTTACCTACTACACTTTCATCAATCTAAAATGACCGACTTACTGTAGCTCCTCTTTGACTCCTTCAGCCGTATTAGCTGCCACAACAAAAATGTCTTTCATCTCCTCTCTCAGCATGTTGCAGGAATAGCCGATATTCTCTGCCGTCTCTGTTTCACAACAACAACAATATTCAACAGGTTCATTTACAGGGGACACCGAATGTTTAGATATGCTATGTGAACCCTTGGAAATGACGCACAATGAGCTTAACAGTGAGAGAATATGAGAACATATTTCACATTACAATTCTGTGTCACATCACCCATCTTGATATGTGTGATTTGACCGGGTTGATAAAATACTGACCCTGTTTATCCCCAGTCAGCACCCAGATTTTGATGTCAGCTTTAGCCAGTTGCTCTATGGTCTGGGGCACGCCGTCCTGCAGCTTGTCCTCCACTGCTGTCGCTCCCAACAGCTTTAAAACACAGAGCACAGGGTGACAGTGGGAAAAGGTATTAGTCTGTGATTCTGTGTATTCTGTTTATGTTTAAAGCAACAAGTTTAAAACCATGTTATTTCTCTGGCAGAAAGAAAATTACTTAAAATGATAAAGCAGTGCTGGTGCCGGCACTTACATCTGCACAATAGATCTAGTTGTTAGTCTGAGGCAGTTGTTTGTTGGTGTGTCATTCATTTATGTGTTATGTGTATTTATGTGGTATGGAGCAGGATATACAGTATAGACTATCCAGTTATTCTCCAGATAAGCCGGCAACTAAACTACTAATGTAAAAGTTAACAAGCCAATTGTTGAGAGGTGGACTAACCAGCAGGTCTTTCTCTATCTCTTCATAAAGTTCGTCCAGTCTCTCCTCTCGTCCCTCCATGGCAGTGCTGGCCTCATGGTGGCGCTGTTTCCAGTCCTCCAAATACCTCTCATCCAAGTCCTTGTATGCCAGAGCAAGGGTACGGAGGCCGTCGCCTGCATACTCCTATTTTGGTTGGACAGTTCCAAGCAGTTAAAAACAGAATGATACATACACATCACAAAAGTCCAACTGCATCACTCACGTTGAGGTGTCTGATGGTAATGTCCTTTAGTTTGTCACAGGACGGGTGGAGTCTTTCAAAGATGATGGTGTCCGCTCCTTTGCAAAATAGAGTCAACTTGCCTTCGGGGCTACGCACTGAAAATCATGGTGGAAGTTGCTTAGCGAAGACAGAGTCATGAGGTTTGACACATAAACTTGTTGCTTGGATCAATTTCAAGACAGATTACAACATTTATAGTAAAAGTTATTTATAAAGTATAACGTGACTTTGGTCATTTGTGTCCCTGAACACACTAATAGGATTTTTTTTTAAATAGTATTTTACCATGTGCTTATAGCTAGGATCAAAAACATGCAGACAACAAATTGTTCAGAGTAATGGTTTAAATTCCCAAATATGCCCTAAAAATATAGCAACTCAATCATTATTTTAACTATAACTAGACATTTTGATGCAACCTTCTCTCACCTATGACTGACATTCTCTTGCGCACATTATTGAAATCAAGAACAGCCAGAAGTTCATAAGTGACTTCTCGGCCCATCTCCACGGCCGTGATGGTCTCTGGTGTGCGTGAGCGGAACACAAACCCGAAGTTTCTTGCTGCGGTCACTAGAGCCCCCTCATCAGGAGACTGAGCCTGATAGTAGAGCTCCCCTGCCAGGAGACGGAGATGACAAGAGGGGAAAGGAAAAAAAGAAGTTATTACCACCACTGGAGAGCACCAAAGTTTTCAAATCATGTCGGCATTTATACTTTTTGAAAAGACAGTATCTTAGGAAATGAATCTCATCCTGGAGTTGCTAAATGGTTAATATAAAGAGAAAAAAGAGGAAACTTTATAAAGGACTGCGATCTCATTGTTCTTTTTAAACCTTTTCAGTAATAAAAATGTCCATTAGAGGACGCTCACCCTCTTTCTTTTCCTCAGGCATGACTGTGTGGCACAGAGCCAGCAAGCGGAAGAAGGCCTGAGCCTCCAGGTTTCCCTCTCTCACCGTCTCCACCAGACTGTGGTCGTGAAACATGAACTTTGGATCCGCCAGCCTGTTCCAGGAGAAGTCCACTCTCTCTGTCTTCTGCAGAGAAAAAGAAGCAGAGCAGAGAAACAAAACAGAGTAACACAATCTCGACAGAAATCCACAAAAATATACAATCACGTGTCAGTCATCTTACCTCTGTTATTTCCACCCTGTTTCCAGAAAAGTCTAACAGATCCCCTGAATAACAGAGAAATACACTACAAAATCAACCCTTCAACCTAAGCTGGGGTGTTTATTCAACTCTGTGGTCTTTATATAAGCACAGCTGCTCACCGTAAGCTTTCCCATTGATGGAGCACCTGTTGAAAGTCATAATGTTCTGCGTCAGGGTGCCGGTCTTGTCGCTGAAGATGTATTTGATCTGGCCCAGCTCCTCATTGAGCGTGGTGGTCCTCGCCTGGGCAGGAGTGTCATTCTTGGGGTAATACATCTTCCTGTCCCAGTCTATGTAGAAGCTGTTCCCCAGACGGATGATCTCCACACTGACCACAACACACACAGGGTAAGCAAAGACGGAACAACTTTAACTCTGAGCTTGATAACTTTGCTTGTTTTGTCTGGTTTTATTACCTGACGTAGAGAGAAATGGGCACCACCGTGTTGAGGATGATGACGTAGGACCAGAAGGAAAGGAAGGATGAGAGAGCAGCATTAACCCCTTCATCACGAGGTAGGAAGACTGTGAACACTGACCCCTCCCTCACCTCCCAGATTGCATTGCCGATGGCCAAAGCGGTGCACATAGACGCCAAGAAACCAAAGATCTGATGGATAAAAGATATCATACATCTTAATATTTAAAAAAAATATTGCATTGATGATATCAATCGGTAAAAAAAGTGACTTGTACTCTATCAGGAACAAGTAGGAGAGGAACAACACTGACAAGTTCCCTCCCAGCAGTAGCCACTGTAATTTTATTTTAATCTTTTTAAGTGTATTTCAAGACAGAAAGGACTACAGTCATGACCCAACTGCGTGTATGTATATGTTTTTGTCAGACACATGACAAATGTACCTTTTTAGTGCCCCCAATGTGTGTTACATGTCTATACATAGCAATTAAAGTAGCAAATGACTCTTTTGGTGAGAGAAATGCGTAAAACATTTAAAGGTCACACCATGGAAAATATGTTTCCACCTAATTTGTAGACTTGAGCTTATGTGTATTTGTGCGATAGTGTGCATAGACACAGGACTCACACACAACACCAGGACATTCATCAGGTGGTCGATGCTCGTCCGTTTGAATGTTGTCTTTCCACAGTTCTGCATCAGCTTGGTGTCGGGACCTGTTAAAGGTTCAATCTCTGTTCAGATACACATACACTGACAATAATGTAGACAGAGGCACGTTTGCAGCATTTGAAGGGACTGTTCTGAAGGTAAAACACCTGCCTCATATACTATTAATTATTAATAAGCAATGTTCAGTGGATTCTATCAAAGTGTGAGCTACTCTCTTTGTCATCCTCACATACATTTGACAAACAAGTGCACGCAAGCTAGAGTTTGACTGAGGCTGCATCCCATTATTAAAACGTATGTCTCAAACCTTGTGGTACAATAGCTGCGCTCAAAATATCTTTCTTTTTGTTTCAGTTTAATATGCTGGTGACTCAAGATATCTCTGAGCAGTGACCAATAAAATAACGTAATGTAACGTAGCGTAAATATTCGGACCAATAAACTCTTATCAGTCGAAAGTCCAAAGTTAGTCCTAAGCATATACGGCTAACTGACTGCAGGTCATAACGTTCAACAGCCAAAGACAAGTAGTAAGAAAGCACCTTGGAGCTATTAGAGTTAATGATTCTACTTACCATTAACATTAGCCTTTAAAATGTAGTTTTTATTATTCACTACGGTATTTAATACTGTATTTTCTGTCGGTCTTGTTGAATTTCCCCACTAGAACTGCTCTGTTAGTTGTGTGCAGCCAGCCTGAGCGCCCTCTACTGGGCCCCTGCAGAATTGAGCGGTGCACCCCAAATGTACCTGTATGCTGTCTCTCTGCATAATGTCTTTGCAGCGCATTATCATGATGTCGTTAACGGTTGTTGTGATACGGTTTGAGCTTCAGCTGGTGAGAGTTTACCTCCGAAGACGACCAGGCCGAAGCACCACTCGGTGTTCCTCAGGGTGCATCCTCTGAGCAGCACCTTGTCGTTGTCCAAAGAGTAGGTCTGTCCGTCCAGAGACAGGGTTCCTTTGAACTTGTCCAGACGGTTGTTGGGAGGCTCACATCGCACCTCACCTGAGAGAGACAGGTTAGCGTCAGCAGTGCAGGCTAAAGCCCTGTGTGTATGGTGAGTGTAGGCCAGTCAAAAAAAAAAAAAAAAAANNAAAAAAACAAAAAAAAAAAAAAAACCTAAAAAACCCGAGCCATATGGGATTATTGACACTGAAAAAAATCCACCGATTACAAATATGGCCGCCAATATAGTGAATTATGAGGTGGTTTTCTATGTAGATTTTCTCACGATATACTCACAAGCTACTCAGAAGCTGCTTTCTCAAACACAACCTTTATGAACTGATAAGTTAAATATTCCTTAATGTGTTAAATAATACTTTTTTTATTGTATACCAGACAAAAACTATGTTTAGGGAATATCGGATAACATATACGCTGATACCGATATGTCTGCGATAGGTCCAAATCGTCTGTAATTCCAGGCTACAGCTCCTGGTGTACAATAACATCTATATACTGTGTAGTGAGTAAAGGCCGACCTATTTTAACCTTAATTATAGTGGTTTAAATGGCCATATTGTTATATGTTATGTATTGTTATCCTAATCAATCTTTTCATTTAATGCTAAATAGTTCACTTACCACTCTCTCTGTGGTGTGCAAAAAGCTTCTCATGCACCATCAAAGTCCCAATGTCTTTACTGAATATCCACCATAACTTTTTCCCGCCCTAAATGGTAGTTAGTAAAGAGTCCGGGATTGGTAGTTCTTAAATCAGTGTTTAATGTCAACCATTGGACGCTTCTCACGCATTGAAAGTGAGCCAGTGGCCTCCACAATTCTGTACATGCCCATGTCTCCAGTTACAGTCAGGGCCTGTTTCACCTTCAGGTTGGTTTCACTGGGGGAGACCAAGAGGACATGAGAAGGATGTGACTGAAGGGAAATCCAAGACAGTGTGAGACATCAGCCGTCAGCCATACGCGCACGCACACGCACAC